CAATTTGACTATACCAGTTGATGGAGAAATTATGTAACACTAAAGGATTCCCATGAGCCCAGTAATGGTTTTAAGTTAATTCTGTATTCTATTTGGTGTAACAGTATCTAAATACAATAGAAATACAAACTCGACTAAACACAAATACAATGGAGAGTGGTTACCTGTGTGTGGTGTGCTGTTTGCTTAGCCTGCAGCAATGCTCAGTGCACATGGATTCCAAGTCCCCACCCAGCGGCTGCAGGTCACACTTGTTCCAGGTGCCCAGGGCCTCCAGACGGCCCTCATGGTCAGCACACTGGTGACTCTGGTCTGTCTCACGGGTCTGCGAGTCTGTTCACAGGCCAGGACCACGCTCATTTAATTATCAAGGCTTTGCAGTATGTCATGAAGTCTTTTAGGGCTATTCCTTCGTTCTTTTCACGGCCTTTCTTTCCTGTTTGCTTTTCCATGTGAACTGTAGAAGCTGCATGTCTAGTTCTGGGGGTGAGATATTTTAATTAGGATTCAATTACATTTATAAATTAACTTATAAAGAAGGGTTGGTGTATCATTTATGTATTCATATCTAACCAACCACCTCAAAATGTAGCAATTTAAAGCAACCATTTTATTGCCATTTAGCCAATTTAAAAGCCATTTGATTGGCTTACAATCCCGTGGGTCAGCTGTTTGGGCTGGACTCAGCAGAGTGGTTCTGCTGGTCTCACCTGGGGTCATTCCTGTGGCTGCAGTCGGCCTGCCTGGCGCTGTGGGTCCGTTTCTGCTCCATGTGGCCCATCTTTGGGTGGGCTAGCCCGAGCTTCCTCACTTGGTGGCCCAGAGGGTGTAGGAGAAGCTGCAAGGCCTCTGAAGGCACAGGCTCGGAGCGTGTGACGTCACTCCCATGCATTCTAGTTCTGGGGTGAGCCCTGAAGCCAGCCCCGGTTCCAGGGCCGGGGGGCCTGACTCTGCATCTTGATGGGAGGGCTGGCAGCTGCTGCTTGGGCGTGAGCACGGGGAGGGCGATTGTTGCTGCCTATGTTTTCCATTTGTTTAGTTCTGCTTTTATATCTTTCAGGATGTTCTCAGGCTTCCTTGTATAGACTTTGTTTATTTCCTGTGAAGTTTGTGACTAGGTGTTTTGTCTTTTTATTGCAAATGTGCCCGGGGTCTTCTCCTCCACCGCGCCTTCCGTTTTACATGTGCACATGGAGTGTGCCCACTGGGCCGCACTCCCCTGGCTGCCTGGACACTCGATGGGGCTGTGTCCTCCTTCTGGTCACTAAGCGCTTGGACTGTGAGCTTGCACACCATTTGCTTTAGAGGAATCCCTAGTCCTGGGCTTCCAATTCTCCCCCTTTCTGCCTGCTAGAGAAGGACAGTGAAGCAACGTAGAAGCTATGCATTGAAGATAGGGGAGCTCCCAGCATTCTGGGCCCCAGATGACCATGGGGGGCAGAGCTCCCAGGACCCTGGGAGCTGGGATCACATGCTGGGAGCTCCCCCATCTTCAGTGCATGGCTTCCTAGGTTGCTCCATTGTCCCAAATGACCACCTGGGGCCAGTGACCTGGAGCTGGTAAGTCAGAAAGAAAGAAACTTCTCTATTGTCTTAGTCCTTTCTATTACTTCAGTTAGGACTAGTTATTGAACATTAGTAGAATGTTGATTTCTGTACATTGTGTTAATTTTATTCCTTTCAACATGACTGTGATCTGTTATGGTTTATAGTAGCATTTTGGTGACAGTGGGTTCTCTTGGGTCTATAGGGTACAAACTTACCATCTGCGAATAGTGATGATTTCACTTCTCCTGCTCGATCTCTAGACCTCTTGGTGATTCCAAATGCTGATGAGGTTGGAATGGCAACAGATGATTATTAGCCAAAAAAAAAGTAATGTTTTTTCAGCCTTATTGAAAGATAAGGTAGTCCCTATAAGTGAATTTACCCAAGAACTGAAGTTGGCCCCTTTAAACCTCAAAAACAGGATCATGTTTGTCTAATCTAAAATTTTAGTTGGACTTGTGGAAATACCTTCCTGCTTCCCAGCCTTCCTAAATAACCCAGGGAGTGTGATCCAGCCCTTTCTCTCTGCACTGTGTGGGGTCAGGGGGACAATTGCTGCATTATGTTCTCACCTGTGATGTCATCGAAGGGCCGCAGGGTCTGCCAACCTGCTCTCCAGCACTGGGACCCTCTGAGGTGGTGCCGTCTCAGGTCACGGGCTTGCCACTGCCCCGTGTGCCACGGTCAGCAGGATGTCTGCCTCCAGCGTCCGCCTTTCCCTCTGTTCTCGTCTGGCGCTTCAGATTGGCTGTGGGCCAGGGGACCGCCCAGTCACGCTGGTCCCAGCTGTGCTTAAAGCAGGAGTAGGGAGGGGCCGCTGGGAGCTGAGGAGCCCTGCTGTGAGTAAAGGGTGTGCCCTTCACTAGTAATACCTAGGCTGACAGCTCAGCAGGCATCGGGGGTTATTCCTGGTTCTGGGCTATGTTCTAAACAGTAAACGTTGCCACCTAAATTATTTTAAGATACTTTAAAAATATCTGATATGGTGTTATCTCCCTACTGTCCTTCGTCTCCACCAGTCAGTCCTGTTCAGACTTTCTCCTCCAGAGTTTCCTGACTTGGAAACAACAGAACTATTCATACACAAACCAAAAACCTAGGGCTCAGCCCCAGTATCCTGCCCTGTAGTCAGCCAGCATGCCCTTTCCGTTCTGCCACCTCATAGCAGACCAGGTCTGCTCTGCACACTGCACATATAGGCACTCAAATATAGGATGATGGATAGGTGGATGGGTGGATGGGTGGGTAGGTAGGTGGGTGGGTGGATGGATGGATGGATGGATAGATGGGTGAGTGGGTGGGTGGATGGATGGGTAGATTGGTAAATGGATGGAAGGAAGGAAGGGTAGATGGGTGGATGGATGGGTCAGTGGATGGGTAGGGGCCAAGTCTAAGCAGGACGTGGGAAGGGTCCTGTGTCGATGGGTGGGTGTATGGGACAGAGGGAGAGAAAGAAGGAAAGAGGGAAAGTAACAGCCATTTCTTGGTTCTCTTTCATTATGGACTTTGAATTTGGATCGTTGAAATCCACATACACCTGAACAGTTCCTTTTATCCTGTACTTCAGACATCCCATCGAGAACATCAGAAATGATGCACTTTTGGCATATTTAATGTCTTCTCCCTTCCCAGCCGCCATCTGCTCAAGGTTAGAGCTGCTCTCGGAAAGACCGCTCAGAGAGAGCAAGGGGAGGCTGCAGGGCTCTGAGCACAGTCACAAGGGGTGATTGGTCCCAGAGTGGTCATCAACGGCTGCACCTTCTCCCTGGATTTCGGGAACCAGGGCAGCGGGTCACCTGAAGTGGTGCCCCACAGTGCTGGGTGGCTCCTGCTCCAGCGCCGTGGGTGGCACTTGCTGTTGTTTTAGGATGATGGTGCAGTTTCAGATGCGGTGCTGCTCCCCCGCCTGTGGGGTTTAGACACTGTTGGCAGAGGCGTGTAAGGCACACAGATGGATGGACAGACAGTGAGCCCGTGTGTAGATGAAATAGCAGCCCTCCACACGCAAAGAAAGCCATTCCCTTCTCTGCATAGAGTGAAGAAATGGAGGCACCTTGCCGCCACTGTGGATAGTGTGGAGGATGGTGGACTCAACTTCAATTTCTTTTTCTGTGGAAAGGCTTTGTTGGAAATATGGCGGTTTCGGGAAAGGTGGGGGGGTGCCTGGGAAGATCCGAAGGTCAGACCATCTGACTAGCTAGTTCTTGAGGAGGAGGGACAAAGGGACCACTGCTGGGGAGAGAGGGTTCTAGGGGCGTCTGGTGATGGACCCTGAGGCAGGTGCAGGGGACTGAGGGGGTCTGCCCTTGAGCACAGTGGGGCCGGGCCAGGGTTCGCTGGCAGGCCCTGGGCCGCCTGGACAGCAGGGCCAAGTTTAAGCGGGATGTGGGAAGGGGCCTGTGTACTTCCAGAATTACAGGATCTGGGAACGAAGAGGCCTGGATGTTTGTAAGAGAGGTGTGTTCACTTGTTAGGGCGGCCGTGACAAAGCACCACAGGCTGGGGGCTTAAACAACAGACATCTCTTTTCTCACAGTCTGGAGGCTGGAAGCCCGAGAGCCAGGTGTCCACAGGGCAGGTTCCCTCTGAGGGCTGTGAAGGAGAATCTGCTTGTAGACACCATCTTCTCCCTGTGTCCTCATGCCGTCGCCCCTCTGTGTGTCTGTGTCCTGATCTCCTCTTCTTAAAAGGATACCCGCCAGTCATACTGGATTAGGGCCCACCCTAATGACCTCATTTAACTTGATTACCTTTGTAAAGACCATATTTCCAGATACAGCCACATTCTGAGGTACTGGGGGTTAGGACCCCAACATATCTTTTTGAGGGGATACAATTCACCCTTAATAAGAGGCACCAGAGTCGAGTCTGAGAGTGGCCAGGGCAGTGCCCAGCTGGCGGGGCCAGGCCCCTCGTGAGATGGTGGGGAGCTGGTCCACGGGCTCCTGGCTCCCCGCTCTGCCCTTCACCACGCGGCCCTGAGCCTCGAGCAGCTTGGCGACAGGAACCACAGGCTCGGAATTAGCAGCAAAAGCACCTGGAGGGACAGTGTCAGAACCACCAAGGGTCCCCTTCTCGGAAGGTGAGAGCTGGGGGGAGGGTTGGTTGGGGTCCCCAGCCCTTCCCGCCCCACAGAACTCTGGCCGGGTGCCCCCAAGGGCCTGGGGTTGTGTCCTGGAGGACATGTTTAGAACCAAGCGTCGTGTTGCTGCTCGGTGCGGGTACCTGCTGTGGAGCCGTGTTCTGCACAGCCTTGCTGAGCCCCTGGCCCACGCCCCCTCTCCGACTGGCCAGCAGTCCATTCTGTCCCTTTTGTGCCGAGGAGGCTATGCCACCCGTGTCTCCCCTCAGGTGCTAAGTGCGGCTCGTCCTCTGCCCTGAGGAGGTGGGGTCTTGGCGGCTTGTACAGGGGCCACAAACCCAGGAGGCAGCCGCCTCACCCTCAGAACCAGGCTGTGCAGGTGCCAGGCTTCTGGAACAATCCATCTTTATCTAATGGAGGGACTGAGAAACAGGCTCAGGCTTCCTCGCTCCCCAGCAACAGCGTCTGAATGTGAATGAAAAGCGCCACATGAACGGGATGGGGTGATTTGTGCGTCTGACGTGTGAAGACAGGGTTCACATGGGGGTTCCCTTGAGAAAAGGCCCAGCACCCAGCTCTTCGCGTTTTCCCATCACCCTGAATAAATACGACAACCTGGGTGAGCACCCCGGGGCCTCAGAGGATGCCAACTGCCCCTCTCACCTGGGAGAAGAGCCATGTCAGGGTGACCTCGGGGCCTGGCAGGTGGAGGCTGGCCCATCCTGCGGCGTGCAGTGGGCAGCTGTGAGAAACTCGCATCGAGAGCAGCTGCAGCTCCCTGGGGTTCTGTGGATGGACTAGACCAGACTCGGGGACAGACCAGGCGCTGGCCGCTTCCCAACCCCGAGGACGGTGGTTAAAGTAGATTCCTGGATGAAGGCCCACGTCCACACAGACGCGTGTGCGCGCTCAGTGCGTGCCTGTGAGTTGTGTGTTAGCTGTACCTCAAGGAAGTTGGTTTTGAAATCGGATTCTTGTACTTCATGCCCTACGATGGAATCAGCAGGTCCAGCGTGGAACTTGGGAATGTGTTTTTAAAAGCATCACAGCTAATGTCCCAGTCTGCAGGCTGGCTCCTGGGGACCCTGGTTATTCTTGCCCTGGTGGCAAAGCGTGCACCCCCACCCAGGACCGTAGAGGTGGGAGTAGAGCCGGTCTCCAGCAGCACTGGGGTGCAGAGAGCCGGCCGAGTGCCGGGTGATGTGTGGCCATGCCAGGTCTGCTCAAAGCCAGTGTCTCTAGTGCCAGAAGAGGTGCCGCCTTGGGCTGGGCCTGAGACTCTGCCTTACAGAGGGGAGCCCACCGTAGAGGGCCCCATGGAGGGAGCAAGGGCTCAGGTCTCACTGTCTGGATCAGAATCCGGCTCTCCTGCTGCTCACTGTGTGACCCTGAACAAGCCCCTTAACCTTTCTGTGCTTCCTCTGCTCACCTGTCGAATGGGGCAATGTGAGTGTCCACTCACGGGGTGTGTGCGAGTTCAGGGGATGGTATGTGGGAAGTGTCTGCACCGGACCCCGCACCTAAGAAGCGTCTTTGCTACCCCGTTGCCTTTTCTTTCCTTTCCCCTCAGAGCAGTGTGTTAGTTACGCTACTCACCTGAGTAATGAATTAGATTTTTGTTGCTCCGTAACAAATGGCCCAGCACAGAGTGGCACAAGACAGCACCACACATTCCTCACCCTCAGTTTCTCGGGGTCAGTACTTCAGACACAACCGGCTGGGTGGGTCGGGGTCACTCACAGGGCTGTGGGCCTCTGCGGGCTTGGCTGGGCCCAGAGGATCCGCTTCCACTGCGGCCCCTTCCCCTGGCGCGAGGTCCCAGCTTCATCCACACGCGGGACCCGCTGCTCGAGTGTTGTCCTGACGCGACGGCCGGCTTCCCAGAGCCAACCAGGCGGGGACCAAGAGCTGGGAGGAAGCCGCCCCTGGTCTAGCTCAGCCTCGGAAATCCTGTTGTATCGTTTCTGGCACGGTCCATTCGTTAGGAGCGGATCCCTGTGTCCAGCCCACGTTCAGCAAGGGAGTCAGGCTCCACCTTCTGAAGGGAGGAGCGGAGCGTTCGCAGACACGTTTTCAAACCACTGTGGGCAGCCATCCCTGTGCCCCCAGGTGTGCTCAGCACATGACGTGAAGCAGGGCAACCCTGGATTGTAGGGGGAGCCTTCATCACTCTCCAGGGCCTGCTCCACTCCCCACCACCAAAGAGAGCCCACGGGGCACCTTCCCAGAGGACCGGGTCTGCAGGGTCCACAACGGGCAGCACAGGGGGCGGGGGCGTCACGGGCCAGGCCTGAATTTGAATCACAGCTTCCGGCTGGTCTCTGTCCACATGGGATTATAGGGTGGCTCACAGAACAAGCACAATCAGGAAATGTGAGCTTCTGGCTTCACCTTTGAAACCAAGAAATGCGAGTTGAAAAGGGGGAAAAAACTGGATAAGTTCTTGAGGGAGTCACCACTTTTGTGTTAGAACCAAAACAAAAGCCTTTCAGCTTAAAAAAGTGCACAACAGCTTGGCAATTAAAAGGCATTGGTTGAGGTATTATGGATATGTCTTTATAAAGATTTCATGTGCAGTTTTGATCTTTTAAATAAGATGCTAAAAAAATAAAATAAAAATTACCTGTAATGCCTTTCCCTCAAGATAATCACTACTAATACTTGGATTCATTCCTTCTAGTCTTTTCTTTCTTCCTTTCCTGTATGCATGGGTATGTCTGTGGCAGTGTGTGTGTGTGTCTGGTATGTGCATGGTGTGAGTGTGCGTGATGCGTGTATGAATGACGTGTGTGTCACTTCACCCATCTACCCTATATGTTACTTTCAGAAGGGAAAGGTCCCCGAGTGCCTGGTGGGCAAGCTGCTTGCTCTCGGGCACTCCTGATCTGGGGCTCTGTGTGAGGACCGCCTGCAGCCCCCGGCCCTGGATCCCGGCCCATCTCCTGACGCTGTCCCGTCCCTTCCAGGACGGCTGTTCTCAGTGAAGGACCTTGCACTCGCTACTGAGTAGCGACCATGGGCCTGCTCGCCTACCTGAAGACGCAGTTCATCGTGCACCTCCTCATCGGGTTCGTCTTCGTGGTGAGCGGGCTGGTCATCAACTCCGTCCAGCTATGCACACTAGTCCTCTGGCCCCTGAACAAGCAGCTGTACCGCCGGCTCAACTGTCGCCTCGCCTACTCGCTCTGGAGCCGTGAGTATTGCCCGCTGCGCACGCTGGGAGGTGGGGTCCTGGGAGCAGGTAAGGAAAGCAGACCCTTCTGCTAGATGATCCCAAACCAGTCCCACATGGGGGCTCCTGGGGGGTGAATGCTTATGACAGTGTGACAGGAAGATAATGGGCCTGGCTTCGTCCCCCAGACCGGGGACTGAGGGCTGCTCAGAAGCACTAAAGGTTTATTCCCAGCCAGCAGACATGTGGAAAGATGCTCAACCCCAAACTCTCGTTAGGTAGAACCTTGTGACTTTCCAACATTCGACCATTTAGACCCATAGAGATGGCAATATCGTATGGTTTAACATAGTACTTCGGATGTTTGAAAACAAATAGAAATAAAGAGAATAATAAACTCGGTATGCCATCACCCAGCTCCAACAGCTCCCAGGACATGACCAGGCTTGTTTCCCCTTGCCACCAGCTACCCCGACACCAGAGTATTATGAATGAACCTCAGGTGGCCCGTCATTTCACTTGTGAATATTTCAGTATCTGAAAGAAAAGGACTCTTTCCCCCTCTTAATTAAATATATGTGTGTAGATGTATCTGCTTTCTCTGTGTACTTGTGTATGTGTGTGTATTTGTACATACAAAATCGGTCTTCAGCTGTCAGGTGGACAGAGACTTGATGGCGAGACCCACGGTTGACACGGGGGGGCTCTGAGCCACTGTGGGTTAGAGGGTGCAATTAGGTACATCTTTAAAAAACAGTTTGCCAGTAGCTCTCAACAGTTTAAACGGTTATGATTTTTGACCCAATTATGCCACAAAATAAGAACGTAACCTAGAGAGATATCTGCAAAAGTGCATATATGTACAGATATTCTCATTTTATCATTTTTTTTTATTAGCACAGAACTGGTGGCACCCTAAATGCCGTTAGTGGAGACTAATTGTGGTATGTCCATGGAATCCTATGCAGCCATAAGGAAAACAAGGGCAGTCTCTCCTCACTGACAGAGAACCATCTTCAAAATATATTTTTAAGTGAAAAAGGAAGGTATACAACAAAGTATGTAGTATGCTACCATTTGTTTGTTTATTTTTAAGGATAACGTGCGTATGATGTGTATACACCCATAGGTGCTGTGCCTGCACAGACAAACCCTGAAAGGATGAGCAAGAACACGGTGGCTGTCCAGGGAGTGGGGGAGGCGGGGACTTCTGCTCTTTATTTCATGCCGTTGTGCCGCTTAGGTTTCTAAGCATGAGAACATACTTCTTTATAATACAGAGAAAATAATGCACATTTTATGTCCCACGGCCTCCGTGACCCCTCCCAGTTCAGGCGCAGATGAGAGGAGGCGGCTGAGGAGGCTGCCGGTGTCGGCTGAGCCGTCTGCACAGGAGTCCCACAGCCTCTGAACAGAACAGCAGCCTAGTCTTTACTTTCAGCTTGCCTTAAACGTGTAATAGCTTCAGTTCCCAGGAGTTTTTTCCTAAATAAAAGTCCACTTTTTTGCGGGAAGGGAGAATTAGAAATCCTATCATATAAAACATACCAAGGAGTTATTCATGAGTATTACTGGGTAAGGTGAATACATACCAAAAGGGCACATACCAATTAATAAAACCTAAATTATAGACCATTTATCAGCAGTATTCTGAGGTTAAAACACTACAAAACAGCTAAATCCTGGGTAAAACTGGCTTCAAATGCATTGCTGGGTTCATAGTACATAAAGGAAATCTCTCAGCCCCGTCCCCCATCCCTTTAGTAGAAAGGAGGTGGCGCTGAAATGGAATATTGACACTGCCTCTCAAGAGCCCCAGCCTGGGCAGCTGTAGGAAGGGGACTGGCTCTAAACCAGGATGCCCGAGGGATGGCGAGGGGGAGCAGATTGATGTGCCCCTTGGACTCAGCAGAGGCAAACACGAATATATCCTGGGTACAGGCCCAAAGAAGCACACAGATTAAGATAGTCAAATATGAGCTAACAATGAAAAACAGCAAACATACAACAGCAGATTTTGATGAAAGACTACCCAAAGTGACCACATTTGAAAAAGAACCAAATAGAACTTCTATAAATGAAAATCATCATTGTAGAATATTTTTTAAAGTAAAAACTTAATGAATGAATTTTACATCAGGTTAGACACAGCTGGTGAGAGGCCGCATAAACCAGACATAAACATGAAGCGGGCATCCAGAGTGCGGTGGAGTGACAGATGAAAACATGAAATAGGAGTTAGAAGTCAGGAAAGGATGAGAAGGTCTGTGTTTATATGAAGTAGGTCTTGGCCTCCTGTCCCAGAAGGAGCGAGGAAGGAGAAGCAACATTGGAAAAGATGAGGTGAGAATTTTCCTGAACTGATGAAAAACAGGATTTTGTAGCTCTGGGATGCTAATGTGTCCTAAGCAGGGTAAATAAACAGAAATCCACACTTAGACCCATCACAGCGAAATCACATGCCACAGAGACAAAGAGGAGATCTTAAAACACCCAGACGGGAGAGCTGGTGCCTATGAAGATGACAGACAGACAGCAGACTGGGCACAACAACGAGGACACCTCCACCCTGAGAGGAGGCGACCGTTAGCCCAGAACTCCACACCCAGCAAGGCGACCTTGCCAACAAGAACTAGATGGCCTTAGGTGATCGTCGCCTGCCGTTCTGTTAGAGGGTGTGCTTCAGTAAGCACAGGGGCTCTCACAAATGTGGAGTCTGAGTTACAGAAAGAACGGTAGCCAGAGAAGCTGGTAAATCGGTCATTCTAAACAACCGTATGAAATAATGATAATGCCTGATTTGTGAGGCTGAAGACGGGGCCACTAACAGCCAGGGTGGCCTATCTGTCAGGCACAGGGATGATGAGAGTCAGGATTCCACCGTTCCTGGATTTGTCAGGAAGAGTGTGGAGAGCTTACCTTTAGACTGCATTAACTAAGTTTAGGGTAGGAAAACAGAGACAGCAAACATAACTTCCTAACTAGTAGAAAAAGATGGATTAAAAAGCAAAGACAAGTTGATTTTTTTTAAAAAAGGCAAGAAAGTAGACAAAACCATAAGAATAAGAACACGAGTTAGAAGTTAAGAAGATTAATGTAAAATCCCCTAATATTTGGAAGGAACACAGACACCCACGGAAAGCCCCAGTCTCCCCCAGTCCACTGAACCTGCAGGCCCATGGGATTCCCCCCAAGTGACCTGTTGAGTTTGGGGATGTTCTCCCCCTAAGTTTATTTCTTAAATATATGAGTTGGAGTCCTTCTTGAATTAGAGCTGAGTGAAGCCTTTCCTGGAGTCCGTGGGCATATGGTGAGAGCGAGGATCACATTAGAGTTTTAATAACCACTAATAATGAGCTACTGTTTTATTTTCAACTCTACACATGTTCCTATTCTCATTCTGTGACGCCTGGGCCTCCTCACTGCTCCCTGAGCCCATTTCTAGTGCGACTCTGTTGTCCTGCCAATGGAGTCGTGCTGTGGCTAAGGGCTCAGGCCCTGGCTCCCTGCTGACCTCGGCCAAGGTTTTAACTCTCTCATCTGTAAAACAGAGATAAGATCGCCTGCCTCTCAGCTGAACTGTCAACATGAAATGAATGCACAGAGTGTGTATACAACAATGTGTAATAAATGATAACTATTAGGCAAATTTTGAATTTTTTTTTAATCAGTGGATGAAATATACAGAGAATGGCTTGCTCATTGTTTGTAAGGGCAAGCATATATTTGAATGAAGGAAACCACTAAAAGAGATTGGTGCTGAGCCCAGGAGCCAACCAGCAAAACTCCTAATTCCGAATATCCCCCAGCCTGAAGGTGAGCGGATTCTCGGACTCAGCCCTGGCAGCTGGATCTACGGAGAGACTGACACGTCTTGAAATTGGCTGAGAAGGCCCTGCCTCGTGTGCTGACAGCTGGTGGAAAAGGGCTGCCTTGGAATTCCACCTTCCCCCAGCGAGCCTCTGATAGAACCATTCTGCAGGACAGGACAAGCTGGGCTTGTTCTCATTAGAACATCTGTAGGGGGTTTACCTGCGTCTGTCTGCCTGCTTTTTGCATCCTGGCTGCTCACCTGTGCTTCCACCCAGCACTCGTGACGACCTGAAGATGCCTCGAAGGCAGTAGTAACCGCGTGTGTCTCTGCGTTCTGACACTGTGCGCCCGTGTTTCCGAGCGCCTCGGGATAGATGCAGGTCTCAGGTAGGAGTCCTCTGTCCGCCTGTGCGGAGCGTCCTCGGGGTTGTCTCCAGTGTCTTGTCCAGCTGTTAGTAATCAGCACGAAGAACCCCTTGCAGAGGGCACACGTTTATGCGCCAGGAGGCGGCTGTTCGGAGCCCGTGTCACGGTTTCCAGCATGTGACCTGCAGGTTATTCCTGGGAGGCAGTCGTGGACACGAGGGGCGTGTAGACGGGGATGTGAGCGCCTGCAGGAGCGAGGCAGGTATCGTCAAGCCAAAGTGAAGAAATGCTTTTGAAAAGAATCTCTCTTAGCAGATTCAGTGTCCTGTGTGGGTCTTAGACTTGCGCCGTTCCTCCCTTCTTCTGGGGCTTCCAGGTGTGTCTGCATCTGTTTAACACAGGAGGGCCCCGAGAGCCTGCATTCACTGAGCGTTCACTGTGTGGCGGGCACGTTCCTGAGCACGTGTGAGCTCTCCCAACCCTCCCTGCAGCCCTGCCCTGGGGGGCTGTGACGCCCCTTCTCACACGTCGAGGCTGCACAGCTGACGAGGGGCAGTTCCGGGGTCAGGCTCTCGTCCAGTGGGCTGCACTCACTGCCCTTGTGTTTTTAAAATCAGTAGGTTGAGCTATGTTGATTCCTCTCAAACTAATGATAAAGCATTGCAAAACTTCCCCATCGAAGAGATGTCTGCACCCGTGTGTTCATAACAGCATTATTCACAATAGCCAAAATGTGGAAACAACTTAAATGTCCATTGATGGATGAATGGATAGGCAAAAAGTGGTATATACTTAGAATGGAATATTATTCAGCCTTAAAAAGGAAGGAAATCCTGCTGTATGCAACAAGATGGATGAACCTGGAGGACATTATACTGAGTGAAATAAGCCGGTCACAGAAGGACCAATACTGCATGATTCCCCTCACATGAGAAATCTGACGTCAGACCCATGGAAGCAGAGAAGAGAAGGGTGGTTGGCAGGCTGGGGGAGGGGGAAACGGGGAGTGGCTGTTCGGTGGTTGTAAAGTTTCACTCAGACAATGTAGGTCTCGAGCTCCACTTAACACCCTCGTGCCTACAGTTAACAGGACCGTACTGCACACTTGGAGATGTGGGAAGAGGGTGGGTAAGTCTCAGGTTAAGTGTTCTTACTACAATAGTGAAAAACACCTTCCCCACTCCCTAGGAAGTGGCTGTGGAAGCAACAGTCTCCTCCTTCCCAGTTCACACGTGGGAGTTTGGCCAGGCCCTGCCGGAGGGCCGCCTCCATCAGTTAAATAAGAGTCGGGTGGAGAGGGGGAGTAGGACAGAGCCGGCGCCAGGCTGCATCGGTGCTGTCTCAGCTCCGGCTCCGGGAGGGAGGTGGAAAGCCCCCACCGTGAACTGTGCTTTCAGAGGCACAAGTCAGCCTTACCTTGGGCCTGCTCTTCTCTTCTTTTTTTTTTTTTTTTTTTGTGAGGAAGACCAGCTCTGAGCTAACATCTGCCGGCAATCCTCCTCTCTTTTGCTGAGGAGGACTGGCCCTGGGCTAACATCATGCCCATCTTCCTTTGCTTTATATGGGACGCCGCCACAGCATCGCTTGATGAGCAGTGCGTAGGCCTGCGCACGGGATCCCGGCCTTCGAACCCTGGGCCACCACAGCAGAGCGCGTGCACTTAACCACTGCGCCACCCAGCCGGCCCCCTGCTCTTCTTTTCTTAAACAGCTTTGCTGAGATAAAGCTCACCCATTTAAAGTGTACAGTCCAGTGGTTTTGGTATATTAATAGAGTTCTGCAACCATATCCACAATCTAATTTTAGAACATTTTCACCCCAAAAAAGAAACTCTGTCCCCATTAGGTAGTCACTCCCCATTCCCCGCTCCCCCAGCCCCTGGCAGTCACTCATCACCTTCCTGTCCCTGTGGACTTGCCTGTTCTGGACGTTTCATATCAATGGAATCATGCAGTGTGTGGTCCTTTGTGTCTGCCTCCTGTCGCCAAGCATGATGTTTTCAAGGTTCCATGTTGTAGCGTGTGTCAGAACTGCGTTCCCCTTACAGCTGAATAATGTTGCGCTGTTTGGCTACACACTGTTGACCCAGCCCTCCGTCAGCTCGTGGACATTGGGGTTGTTTCTACTTTTTGGCTCTTGTGAAGAATGCTGCCGTGAACCTTTGCATACCAGCTTTTGCGTGGACATGTTTTCATTTCTCTGGCGTATACCTAGGAGAGGAGTTGCTGGGACCTCTGGTAACTCCGTGTCTGGAACACTTTCCCAAAGCAGCTGCACTGTTCTGCGTTCCCACCCACAGCGTCTCCTGTCCTTGCCCACACTCACCGTGTCCGGCTGTTCGATGGTAGCCATCCTGGTGAGCGTGAGTGGTACCCCACTGTGGTTTGGGTTTGCGTTTTCCGGATGACTAACGATGTGGGGCATCTCCTCGTGTGCTTGTTGTACGTGAGCTCTGGAGAACCGTGTTCAGATCCGTTTGTCTTTCCATTCCTCGTGCCTTTGCTCAGCACACCTGAGCTGGATGGAAAAGCACCCGTGGCTGACAGGTTCACTGTAGGTGCTGAGTTTGACTCTGACAAGTGGCCTTGTCTGTTGACCTGGCCCGCGTCCCCTGAGGGGACCTTACCCTCTGGTAAGCTGGTCCTTGGATCTGACCCCTCATGGTCTCCTCCTCTGATTGCCCCTGGGGAGAAACAACTGTGGCTCCTGAGTGTTCAGGTGTCTGAGAGACGGACCCTCCGTCCAGCTCCCGTCGTGCACAGAGAAGGAAGTTGAGACCCAGAGGCCACATGATGGGCAGCATTTTGGGGGGGGAGCTTGCTCGTCCCCCACTTCTGCCTGGGCTGGTGGAACACTGGTCAGGAAGGGGAAACCAGCCTCGGTCCTCTGGTTCTCGGGTGTCAGCCTCACGTGCCGTATCTCATTTAGTCCTCCCAGTGGCCCTGTGAGGAAGCCACTATTATCCCCTTTTTATAAATAGGGAAACTGAGGCCCAGGCAGTCAGGCTTGGAGCCCGCTCTCTAAGCCCTGGCCTGTCCCATCAGCGTTCCCTGGCCCCATCCCCAAGGGCTGGTCCCCTCAGAAGATGGATGGGTTGGAGTCCAGGACAAAAAGACCAGGGCTGTCCTGTGGCGACCCTGAGCCTGACAGCCGTGCTTCCTGGTCTGTGAGGTCACCCTTCTCAGACGCCTGACCGTGGTGGGTGTGATGCCACTGTGGTGGCTCCAGCACAGCCAGGGCTGCCGACGACGGGGGTCCTGGGGCTGGCTGTGTGCACGCACCACCCCCTCCTCCCGTCCCGTGGATGAAATGTGTGCCAGTCCATCAAACCGGAGCACACGTGAGATCCTAGTGGACGTAAAGAGGAAGGAGTCCATCCAAAATGGTGGTTCTCCTCCTCTATCTCCTCCGCTCCTTTCACCGCGTTCTGAAAGTTTCATTTGTCTTCTGCCTTGACTTTTGCTTAGAGAAGGTAACTATAATTTTGGAAAACTTATTTTGTTAAACATAAACCATCAAAACTCATTTCTGGCAGAAAATCCCACTCTGGCTGAAAGTACTATAGAAGTCCCTACCCAGGTTCTCCCCCGGCATCAGAGAGCCCGGGGCCTGGCCTGGCCTCCTGTGGGGAGGGGTCCCGGTTGTAGCGGGGCGGCCTGCACCTTGCCAGCGTCCCTCCGTGTGTGTCTGCAGAGCTCGTCATGCTCCTGGAGTGGTGGTCCTGTACAGAGTGCACTCTGTTCACCGACCAGGCCACGGTGGACCGCTTCGGGAAGGAGCACGTGGTCATCATCCTCAATCACAACTTCGAGATCGACTTCCTCTGTGGGTGGACCATGTGTGAGCGGTTTGGCGTGCTGGGGGTGAGCAACGTGGGGGTCCTGGGAGGGTGGGGGGGTGAGCAACGTGGGG